TCTACCATAGCCTCTCCCTTCTAGCCCCTTTGCTGGCTTCTTTGGCCTGTTTCCATTTCCTCTGCATATGCATGGGTGTGGGGGTGTGTGCATGGGTGTGGGAGTGTGTGCATGGGTGTGGGTGTGTGTGCATGGGTGTGGGGGTGTGCGCATGGGTGTGGGGGTGTGTGCATGGGTGTGGGGGTGTGTGCCCGGGTGTGGGGGGTGCGTGCATGGGTTTGGGAGTGTGTGCATGGGTGTGGGGGTGTGTGCCCGGGTGTGGGGGTGCGTGCATGGGTTTGGGAGTGTGTGCATGGGTGTGGGAGTGTGTGCATGGGTGTGGGGGTGTGTGCCCGGGTGTGGGGGGTGCGTGCATGGGTTTGGGAGTGTGTGCATGGGTGTGGGGGTGTGTGCATGGGTTTGGGGGTGTGTGCATGGGTGTGGGGGTGCGTGCATGGGTGTGGGGGTGCGTGCCCGGGTGTGGGGGGTGCGTGCATGGGTGTGGGGGTGCGTGCCCGGGTGTGGGGGTGCGTGCATGGGTGTGGGGGTGTGTGCATGGGTGTGGGGGTGTGTGCATGGGTTTGGGGGTGTGTGCATGGGTGTGGGGGTGTGTGCATGGGTGTGGGGGTGTGTGCCCGGGTGTGGGGGTGTGTGCATGGGTGTGGGGGTGTGTGCATGGGTGTGGGGGTGTGTGCATGGGTGTGGGGGTGTGTGCCCGGGTGTGGGGGTGTGTGCATGGGTGTGGGGGTGTGTGCATGGGTGTGGGGGTGTGTGCCCGGGTGTGGGGGTGTGTGCATGGGTGTGGGGGTGTGTGCATGGGTGTGGGGGGTGTGTGCATGGGTGTGGGGGTGTGTGCCCGGGTGTGGGGGTGTGTGCATGGGTGTGGGGGTGTGTGCATGGGTGTGGGGGTGTGTGCATGGGTGTGGGGGTGTGTGCCCGGGTGTGGGGGTGTGTGCATGGGTGTGGGGGTGTGTGCATGGGTGTGGGGGTGTGTGCCCGGGTGTGGGGGTGTGTGCATGGGTGTGGGGGTGTGTGCCCGGGTGTGGAGGTGTGTGCCTGGGTGTGGAGATGCGTGCAGAGTAGTAGCAAGCTCTTTACTAAGCACTCTCTCCAGTCCACACCTGTGTCTTTTTTAAACATAAAGCCTCCCAGAGGCTCTGTCTTTTTTCCTCCTTGCTTACCCATTTATAGGTGAATTAACCAATTCTTAAGAAACAAGGTCTTGATATGATATCCAGACTGGCTTTGTGCTACTGACTCAGGTGATTCCCCAATTACATGGACACACCAGCTTTTGTCTTTAGGCTTTCCCTGGTCTCCGGAGTTTCACATCCAACTTCTGGTAGGATGTAGCCATCAGGATGCCAGTCTGGAGCTTCCTATGTTAAGTGACCATCTCCTTTCCTGACTGATGCCCCATTTTCTCTCGAGTGGATGATGCTGTCATCTCAGCCTCTTCCGAGTGTCCATTCATTTAGTGTAAGCCCAATCTCTAAGATCGTACCACCGTCTCAGAAGCTTCCCATTACCTCCCTTCCCATCACTTTTGCCGTTGAGACATACCCAAGGGGGCCTTGGGTAATAGAACTAATAAATAAAAACTAGTAATAGAACTCCAAACACAGTATAGGCGTGACACGGCACCCTTGAATATTTTATTATGCATCTTTAAAGACTTAGACTAATTTTTCTGCATTATTACTTCACTGTCAAAGCTAGCAAATTTTACTTTTTTTTTTTTTTTTTTTTTTTTTTTTTTTTTGCATTGATAGGGATGGAACCTGGGACCTTGACTATGATAAACAAGTGTTCTACCACTGAGATACTCCCTCCAAGCCTAATAACTACTGTTGTCTCTAATTCTCACTCCCCATCCCTGAAGCTGAGAGTTTGCCTGTTATTCATCAAGGTTGCCTTGGAGGAGACTACCCACCTCCGAGGAACCCACTCCCTCCCGAGCTCTCGTGGCTCACCAGAAGTTTCTAGCCCTCCTTCAGTGTGCACAGGACATAGCTCTGCCTTCTGGCAGAGGTCAGACCCATTCTCTTTCTCTCCCGGCTGCCCCGTACCCAGTACAGGGTGGAAACACAATTAGAAAACTCATGAATACTCTTTTCTTAGGCATCTTGACTCCTCCTCCGTATCCTGCCATGATAAGGAAGAGCCAGGTCTAGAATGTGCGTGGTGTATTCATTCTCCTGGGAGGACATAATTCTGCCAGCCCAGACCATCGCCTTATCCTTGCATTTGCTTTCATGGATGTGAGGACCAGATGAAGTCCCGACTAGTCACCGTTAAGGAGCCCAGTACAGCAGACCCACAGGAGTCTGCAAAGCTTTTCTCCGAGTGACAGGCTCAGGGAGTCCCTGTGTGACTGCTGATGGAGTTCACAGAGAGCATCACACAGCAGCTGTAAACAGCCTGAGACTGCTCCCCTACAGGCAGCTCCTACCTTTCCTCATGGCACTGCACACAGTAAAGGTGCTGAGCTCCTGCATTGCATGCTGGTGTGTCCCACCTGATTTCAGCTTTCCAGTACAAGTCCTTTCTTCATTCCCTCATCATCCCAGGTGGGTCTAAGACTCAGGTGGTGCTGGGTGAGGCAACATGCCTAGGGGTCTTCATTATGACCTTTCTTTCTTTTTGATTTTTTTTTTTCCAGGACAGGGTTTCTCTGTATAGCTCTGGCTGTCTTGGAACTGTAGATGATGCAGAGATCCACCTACCTCTGTCTCCCTGGGATAAAAGGTGTATGCCACCACCGCTTGCCTGGCTTCATGACTGACATTCCCATACATAAATATTTGCTCCCATTATTTTCCTCCCTTTTAAAATTTCATTGGTGTTTTTTTGCCATACAGGCATGTCTGTGTGAGGGTGGTGGACCATGGAGTTACAGAAAGTTGTGAGCTGCCTTGTGGGTGCTGGGAATTGAACTCAGGACCTCTGGAAGAGCAGTCAGAGCTCTTAACCACTAAGCCATCTCTCCAGCCCTGTTATTCCTTCTTATTCATCCTCTACTTTCTTGTCCTTTCCACACCCCTAACAGTAATCCTGCACTTACCTTCATGTCCTTTTAAAAACCCAGAGTCCACATAAGAGGAAACATGGGATGCCTGTGTTTGTGAAACTGACTTTCACTTAACATGATGATTTATTTTTTTCTTTTTGGTTTTTTGAGACAGTGTTTCTTTGTGTAACATCCCTAGCTGTCCAGGAACTTGCTTTGTACACCAGGCTAGCCTGGAACTCACAGAAATTCCCCTGCCTCAGCCTCCCAAGTTCTGACATTAAAGGCATGCACCGTCACTGCCCAACCAAGGTCTATCTACTTTCATGCATATTGCCTCTGTCTGTTATGTGTGCTATATGTATGTCTACATATGTGTTTGAAGTCAAGAAAGGATGCTGGGTGTTGTGGAATATTGTTTTAAGATGTGGTACATTTGTTTAATGATGCAAAGATGTGCTGCATTCTTTTATGCTGCATTTGTTTAACTCTGTGAAGCTGTGCTACTTTGCCTGTCTAAAATACCTGATGGTCTAATAAAGCTCTGAACAGCCAATAATAGCAAGGCAGGAGAAAGGATAGGCGGGTCTGGCAGGCAGAGAGGATACATAAGAGGAGAAATCTGGGAAGATGGAAGATCCAGGAACAGAAGGAGAGGGAGAGAGGGCTCCAGGGGCCAGCCACCCAGCTACACAGCAAGCTACAGAATAAAGAAAGTTATAAGGAATGGTAAAAGCCCGAAGGCAAAAGACAGGATAAATTAAGAAACTCAAAACCTTCCTGAACGATTTAGTGAGAGACACATACTAGAGCCAGAAACAAGCCAAGCTAAGCTAAGGGATGTCTCCGTGTATTTATTTGGGAGCTGGGTTGCAGGCCCCCAAAGAGCAAAGAGTAAAGATTTTTTTTTTTTTTTTTTTTTTTTTTTGGAGACAGGGTTTCTCTGTAGCTTTGGGGGCTGTCCTGGAACTAGCTCTTATAGATCAGGCTGGTCTCGAACTCACAAAGACTCTCCTGCCTCTGCGCCACCACCGCCCCATTAAAGAATAAAGAATAAAGAAAAAAAAAAAAAAGCCTCGGCGCACATAATCGGGAGGCAGAGGAAGGTGGATCTCTGTGAGTTCAAGGACACCTGGTCTACAGAGCTAGTTCTAGGACAGCCAGGACTACACAGAGAAACCCTGTCTTGGAAAAACAAAACAGCAAAGATTTGAAAGCGTTGGGATTACAGATTACCACCAGGCTGGCCCTTAGCTCTAATTATTTCTTCCCTTCAAACTCAGTAAGCAACTCGCAGAAGGAGCGGTTGTGAAAAGGACAGCTCAGGCTAGGAATGTGAAGGCTGGTTCCCTTTTAGCGGTTCACAACAGTTCCATCTGGGAACCATCAGCGGCACAAGGGAGGGAGGGGTTTCTAGCTCCTGTCTTCACCTGGCTTTCATATCTCCCTCCCTCCCTCCTTCCCTCCCTCCCTCCCTCTTCCTCTTCTTTTTGAGACAGGGTTACACTGTGTAGCCAGCCTTGGTTATCCTGGAACTCACTGTAGACCAGGCTGGTCTCGAACTCACAGAGAGCCTCCTGCCTCTGCCTCCCGAGTGCTGGGATTAAAGCGCGGCGGCTTTGCCATTTCTGATGGGAAGAGGAATAAGATCGGGAAGTCCACTCGATGAAAGCCTTGCTAGCCCTAGTGTCTCTTTTTACAATTCAGGAGCTGGGATCACAGACGTTAATCTTTTCCCAGAAGGAGGGCCCAGGCTCTGACGTCTTCTAGGTGACGTGGAGTAGAATAGGGCTTCCTCCGGTTTGCTCAGTCCAGGAGTCCCAGGAAATGGAGAAGCTGGGGTCAGAAAACCCTAGGACGTGCAGCCAGGGACTTTCTGAAAGTGTTTACTCTAGCCCCACCCAGTCCCACCCGATCCCCAGCTTTGTGCGGGCTCGGGGATGGGGGCGGGAGGTGCACGGTTCTCGGCGGGCGCGTTGAGGTCTGCAGAAGACCCTTTTGACACTTGGCCTCATCTCCGCCTCTGGGCAGCTCTGGGCGGCCCCTTGGTCCTCCGGGGTCTCCCTCGCCTACTCCGCGTTCCCGAACCGGGGAGACCCGGACGGCGCCGGGTTCCAGTAAGGGATCCGGGAACCCTGAGGTCCGGCTCCTGGCTCGCGCTTTCCCGGTAGGGGCCACGTGGCGCCGCCCGGGCGGGGGGCTCGCCTGCCCCCACCCCCCTCGTGAGCCCCGGTGACTCAGGCCGCAGCTGTTCCCGCGTCACATGAGGGAGCTGGCGGCCACCCTGCGGGGGAGGGGGCCGGCCGGAGCCGGGGCGGGGCCGCGCGGCAGGCGGGGCGCGAGCAGGGGGCGCGGGAGGCGGCGGCCGATCCGCGGCTCGAGAGCTTCGGGAGACGTCGGGGAGCGCAGGTGAGGCTGCGGCTGGCGCGTGCCGGGGGGGGGGGCTGGACCGGGCTCCCGGCCGCCCTCGAGCCGCCCTGGAGCACCGTGCTCGCCCCCGGGCCCGGCCCTCGAGCAAGTCCGCCTCCAAGTCCGCGCCGCGCCGCGCCCGGGGCTCCCGAGGGTCCCCGCGCGGACCCGGGGGCGGCGGGGGTCCCGGGTCGCGGCCTTGGCGGCGGCCGGCGCCCATCAGAGCCAGGATCCCGCGGAGGACCGGCCGGCGGGGGTCGGGGTCTGCCCGGAGCCCGGCCGGCCGCGCCCTCCGTGCGTCCTGGGATCCCGAGGCTGCGGCCGGGGCCCCGCTCCGCGGTGGGCGAGCGGGCGCGCGCCCCACCCCTGTCCAGCCGCCGCCGCCGCAGCCGGGCGGAGGGGGCAGGGAGACGTGGACCTGACCGCGGGTTTCCGGGTGGGAAGGGCCGCGCTGGGGGCCGCGCAGGGAAGGCTGCGAGGGCCGGCGGGGAGCTGCGGAGCCGGGGCCCCCTCTTCCTGTTCTGATCCCCGTGCTCTCCCCGACCCCAGGCCCGGCAGCCATGGCGGTGGAAGGAGGAATGAAGTGTGTCAAGTTTCTGCTCTACGTTCTCCTGCTGGCCTTTTGCGTGAGTAGTGGGGAGGGGGGGGGGAGAGGGACGGACGGGGCACACCGGCGGGGTGCGGGGAGCCTTGGAGCGGGAGCCAGGAGTGGCGAGAGACCCAGGAACGCAGGCAGCTGCAGGCCAGATGTGGAAGGAAAGCCCGAAGAAAGGTCCAGAGGCAGAACGCCCCCCTCCCCTGCTCCCCGGCTTTCTGGGACCTCTGAGGAGAGTTTGAACAGAGAATGGCCACCCTAGATGGGTAGCACCCCACACCAACCCCCTCCAGGCCCTTCCTGTCTGGTGACCCAACCATTTGTGATACGGGGTAGTGGGGCAACCTGCCAACGGTCTGATGGTATCGCCATGGGGCTAGTACCCCCACTCTCCACCCTGTTGTTCATCTCTATCCTCTCATCCAGTTGGGGGAAGGAAGGGCTCTGCCCACCTTCATTTGCTCCTGCCCTGAAAAGCTAGTGTTTGTTCCGGGAGGGGCCACTATTACCCCCTTCCCTCCTCCCTGGCCTAGCTGGTCCTAGGACCTTAGTCACTGGAGTGAGGGGGGCAGTTCTAAGAGAGACTGTAGTGAGTATTCTCTTTAAAGGAAGGCCTGACACCCAATTTCCCTCGCCCTGAGGGTCTAGAACAACTTCCCAGCCTTCAAGGGGCAAGGATGGACAGACATATTTCTTTACAGTCAGCGCATCCTGGAGGTGTTAAGAATCTGTTTTCTGGGCCAGGTGGTGGCTTTAATCCCAGCACTGGGGAGGCAGAGGCAGGTGGATCGCTGTGAGTTTGAAGCCAACCTGGTCCACGGAGCTAGCTCCAGGACAGCCAGAGTGCTGTTACACAGAGAAACCCTGTCTCCAAAATCCGGCGGGTGTGTGTGTGTGTGTGTGTGTGTGTGTGTGTGTTTTCTGGCTGGGGGTCAGGTGTGAGGGCTACTGGAGAAAAGACCTGACTAAACGCTCATCTTTCCCCTCAGGCCTGTGCGGTGGGATTGATTGCCATTGGTGTAACAGTTCAGGTTGTCTTGAATCAGACCATCACCCACGAGACTAAGCCTGGCTCCCTGTTGCCTGTGGTCATCATTGCAGTGGGCGCCTTCCTCTTCCTGGTAGCCTTTGTGGGCTGCTGTGGGGCCTGCAAGGAAAACTACTGTCTTATGACTACAGTGAGTGTGGTGTGGGACAGCGTGACTCCTCCGGCTACCAAAGGGCATTTTTGTGGTGAGGTGGGTGGGTGAGGGACATCAGGAGTGTCCCAGGGATTGACTGGGTCAGAGCAAGCTCTTTGAAATCCAGATTTCAAACCCAGATCCTGCCTTGTGCTCTTACAGTTTGCCATCTTCCTGTCCCTTATCATGCTTGTGGAGGTGGCTGTAGCCATTGCTGGCTATGTGTTTAGAGACAAGGTAAGCAGGGAATAAAGGGGAACCCTGTCCGCGGGTTACTCTGCGACACTAGTAAGGCCTGAATTCCCTCTCAAAAACAAGCTTCTCTCTCCACTCTTAGGTGAAGTCAGAGTTTAATAAGAACTTCCGGCAGCAGATGCAAAATTACCTTAAAGACAACAAAACAGCCTTGGTGCTAGATGGATGGCAGAAAGAAGTGAGTGGGAAGCTGGGAGGAGGGCTGGTGGGGATTGAAGATTCTCATCTCTGAATTACAGTGCGGTTTCGCTTTAGCAACCTCCCCTCCCCTTCGCTCCTCATTCTCCTAGTTTAAGTGCTGTGGGGCTAACAACTACACAGATTGGGAGAATATCACTGGTATGGCCAAGGACCGAGTCCCTGATTCTTGCTGCATCAATGTCACCGTGGGCTGTGGAACCGATTTCAAGGAAACCACGATTCATACTCAGGTAGGGAGAAGACATTAGACTAGGGAAACTTGCGAAATGTTTCTAGAGGCGGGAGAGATGGTAACGGAATCAGGGTTGGGGGTGAGATCTGGGGAAGAGAGGGGCTGGGAGAAGGGGACAGGTCCGGAGGAAAGGTGGCTAGGAGGTAGGAAGTTTCTTTCTGTTGGAATTCTTGCTTTCCTCTTCCCTTCAGGGCTGTGTGGAGAATATAGGGGTCTGGCTGAGGAAGAATGTATTGCTGGTGGCGGCAGCGGCCCTGGGCATTGCTTTTGTGGAGGTATGAAATGCTGTGTGTTGGGGATCTGAATCAGCCCAGGGCATCTGGGGAACAGGAGGGGCTGGCCTGGATGGGTCTGGGGAAGCTTGCCCTTCCTCCTCTCTAACCTCATTTCCATCTTTCCTTGCAGGTCCTGGGAATTATCTTCTCTTGCTGTCTGGTGAAAAGTATCCGAAGTGGCTATGAAGTAATGTAGGGGGGAGGGGTCTGGTCTCTTCTGTCTCTTCATCTAAGGAAGTGGATTCTCCAGGTTTTTCAATTAAACGGATTATTTTTTCAGACCTAAAAAGGAGATGGTCTCAGTTTTTCTTAGAGTGATGGATGGCCCCTTTCTTTTCCTTCTTCCTGCTCTGGGAACAGGCAGGCCATTTAGCGGGAGTCTGGGAAAGGGGTATTTTGTTGGTGTTGGCTGGGTTGGCAGTGGGAGAAGTTGGGAGATAAGGAGGAAGTGTCTGAGCGCCCTCCCTGACCCCTGGTTTTGTGTTGCCTGCTTAGCCTTCAGTGTCCCTGGAGCATGTATTGAGGCTATCTCCTGCATAAGTCAAAAGGGTTTCCTACAGAGTTCCTATGTGTCTAGCTTGTGTCAATTTTGGACAACTTTTTGGCCTTCTGATGCCTCGAGGGGCCAGCAAACTCCTTCCCCCTCAGTCCTCAAGGAGACCTGGCTACTATCAGAATGGTTATGTTGCTTGAGATCTGTGTGGCCAGCGTGCCTGATTCTTGCCTTAGATAATGGGAATTTAAGTATTTCCTTCTTCCATGGAAGCCACCTAATCAGGCTCTGACTATTTTCATCCCCAGAAACATTAGATAATGCCTTGCCAGGTGCAAATGAACGCTCACTACTCGATGTAGAAAAATTGGACAAAAGTGCCACCTGGTGGCCATTTCTCCAAGTGCAGCTACAAAAAAATCATCTGTAGCGTAAGGTAGTTCCTTACACCCCCCAGTGGACAACAGAGTTTTTGCAGGCACTAAAGCCTGAGAGTTCTGGCTTTACTTAAAATTTGTCAGGCTCCCACAGGTACCTTCATTTTTGCCCACCTACTTTTCCTTTTAAAGCAATGCATATTTATTGAGAGTGGACTTTGTGCCAGGAACCAGGCAGCACCAGAGAGTGGAGACAGAAATAAAGATTTTTGCCTTTCAAAATCAGCCTCTTGCTGGAAAGTTGGAATCAGTAGATTGACTGGGCAGGCTGGGGAAGGACCCAGGACAGCACAGCATCCACCAGGCTGGCTGGAAGGTAGGAGGCTGGCAGCCAGAGCAGCTTGGCATCCCAGCCTGGGCTGTAGCGGGTTCGGGGGTGACGAGCAGTCAGGGCATGCTCCAGGCAGCTGATCACCTTCGTTAGGTCTGGGTCACAGATCAGGTTCATGATGCGACGCTGTGCTTGGAGATCTGTATCTTGGAAGATGCTCGTAGTTAACGTGCATGTGGTCCCTGCCTCCCCTCTATTCCATCTTGGGCTGTCTTACAGATCACCTGGGCTGGATGCCCAGTTGGGGAAGTGAACACACCTCTCTCTGCTTGCCCTTTTCTGCCCTACTAAGTCTGACCTTTCTGGCCCTCTCTTCTCCCCATCACGCTCTCAATATGGGTCCAGCTACTCACAAGAAGCGAGGAAGGCTTCCCCATAGTGGGCCTGTGTAGACGGTGGTAGCTGGGCCCAACAAGCTTTCAGCGTGTTCTCCAGACTCTCCAGGTTGGTCACAGGGGTTCGGAAGAAGCCAGGCTCCACAATGGAGACTTGTACTCCAAATGGAGCCATGTCCCGCCTGGAGGATGGGCAGAGGGGGTTTCTGGGTTTATACTCTAGGTTTCTAGGACTGAGGAATCTAAGACGGAAAGGTGTTACAGTGGAGGAAAACATGGCCTGACAGGAAAGGCTGTTGCTCATTGGTCTGGGATGAGGAGCATGGGGTGTCGTCGTCCGTGTCGTCCCCCTCCCCCCCGGCACTGGAGATAAACCTAGGGACTGTGCATGGTAGATAAGCAACTGAGCCACGCTATCACCAGCCAAGGGGGTGCATCTTTCACTGTTTTCCTTGCATTTCCTTTTTAAAAAAGATTATTGGTTATTTATATGTGAACTACTTGAGTTCACGTGCACCTTATGTGTGCAGGGGCCTTCATTGGTCACAAGTTGTCTTGATCCCTTGCAACTGCAGTTACAGGCTGTTATGAACCACCTTGTGGGTGCTGGGAACCAAACCTGGGTCCTCTGCAAGAGCAGTAATCACTCTTATTTTCAGAGTCATCTCTGTGGCCCCTTGCTTTTGTTTTTTTGAGACAGGGTCTCACGTAGCCCAGGCTGGCCTTGAAATCCTGGTGACTTCTGTCTCTACCTTCCATGTGCTGTGGTTATAGGTACGAGCCATCATGTTAGTCTGGATATTTTTCTCTCTCTCTCAGCTTTTTAAAATTTATGAGACAGGGTCCCACTGTGTAGCCTAAGCTAATCTTGAAATGTATTGTACTTACTTGTGTATGTTAGTGTGCCACTGTTCATGTATGGATGTCAGAGGACAACTTGGTTCTTTCCTGACTTATATGTCCACTGAACTCGGTGTCAGGCTTGTGAGCAAGCTCACTTAAGTGCTCAGCCATTTTGCTGGCTTGGAAAAAAATTTTTTTGTTCTTGTTTTTTGTTTTTGAGATAGGTTTTCACATAGCTTGAATGTGCTGTGTAGTAGAAGCTGGCCTTAAAAGTGCTAAGACTATAGGCCTGTACCATACAGAGAGAAAGATCTTGTTTTGTAGTCCAGGTTGGCCTCAATGTGTCTCAGCTTCCCTAGCCTTGGAATTATGGGTGACTATCACCATGTAATCTCTGTATTTTCTCCTGTTAACTAGATTAATGGTTAGCAAGCTTTATTTATTTATTTTTCTTTGGTGATAATGGGTGCTTGGGATCAAGCCTAAAGCCTCATGCTGGTAATGTAGTCCAGATTAACTTTGAACTCAGGATTCTTCTGTCTTAGCACTCTGTTCCCGTCTAAAAAGATTCATGTAAATGTGTACATGTATGAGTGTATGTGTACAGGTGAATGAAGGCCGGAAGGCAGCATCGTGTTACGAGGGTATGGGTCCTCAAGATTACTCAGCAGTCTTAATTGGTGAGCCTCTTCCTACCCCATCCTTTACTTTTTCTTAATAGTAAATTTTGAGGTACTACGTACAGGCCATATGAAATTTATGTTTTTATTTATTTTGCTACAGGGTTTTACCATGGACTGGAACTTGCTATGTAGACCAGGTTGGCCTTGAACTCACAGAGATACTCCTGCCTCTGCCCTGTGTGCTGGGATTAAAGCTATATACAGCAATACCTGGTCAAATTAATGTACTTCTATAACTATTTACAATATAACCGTTTAGATGTATAAAAACCATTATTGGCCTGAAGGCAGCTGAACTCATCTGGTTAATACCTGCAGGCCGACAGTTCTTGATCTAGAGCCTCCTTCTGTAGCTTCCAAAAAATAAGGTTGAGTTCTGAGTATTAGGTGTGAGGGATGTAGACTGGTATTAGCTGGTAGGTGTAGTGATATATTATTTATGATTTAATACAGCTTGCCTGAGAATTCAGAAAGCAAAGCAGCCAGCCAATAGCTCTCACCTCTAGCTCAGGCCGAAAGGGCTGATCCACGAGCGAGCTCTTCGCCAAGTCTCAAACTGCTACCTCTCCTCAGCATGGCCGGAGAATGAACGCCTGTAAGGCTCTTGTCCTGTCTTATACACCCCTCTAGTGCCGGGATTAAAGGTGTGGTCTGTTGTTCTTTTAGACTGATTTAGTCTCATGTATCCCTGGGTGGCCTTGAACTCAGAGAGAGCCATCTACTTAATTCTGAGTCCTAGGATTAAAGGTGTGTGCTTAGCTTCTACGGCTTGTGGCTGACTTTGCTTTCTGAATCCTCAGGCAAGCTTTAATAAATCGTAAATAATATATCGCCACAGGTGACTTGATGGCACAAGTAGGTTACATCTCCCTGCCTTGCTCTGGCCTGGGTAGAGACCCAAGTGTACTCGTCTTCCATGATGCTGACTGAAGAACAGGGAAGGGAACAAGAGTCGATGGAATTATGTGGGGTATGGTGATGAAGACAGCCTTCCTCACTAGTGGGCTCCTCTTGAACAACTTGGGCTTCTGTTCCAAATTCAGACTCTGCTGCTCCCACAGTCCTCTTTAGCTCCTTCAGACTCACTATTGTTTAAACTGTTACTGTAAGCCCTAAGTGGGGGCACATGTCTGTGATCCCAGCACTGGGATAGTGAGTTTGAGGCCAGTGTGGGCTACGAAGTCATACCCTGTCTGGAAGGAAAGGAAAGGAAGGGGACATGAGAGCTGGCTTAGCGGTTAAGAGCATTAGCTGCTCTTCCAGAGAACCCAGGTTCAATTCTCACATGGCAGCTCACCTACGTGTAACTGCAGTTCCAATGGATCTGATACCCTCACACAGACACACATGCAGGCCTCCTGGTCTATATAGTAAGTCCCTGTCTCAAAAATGAGGGCAGACCTGACCTAGGGGCATGTCTCAACGCTCCTACTAAGTAGTTCTATAGCAATAGCTATTCACATAGGGTGGACAAGAGAATTAAATAAAAAATATTACTGTTTCTACTTTTAGTGGTGATATGAGGGGCTGGTGAGAAGACTCATCAAATAAGGCCTCTTTCCATTAACCCTCATCACCTCAGAAAGAGAACAGACTCCAGAGTCCCGTAAGTTTACTTTGACATGCATACCATGAACATTCATGTGTACACACGATGTGTGTGTCTATGTAAATCCCATTTTAAAATGATAAAAGGCTTCCCCAACATCTAGGCATTGAAGGGTTCTTGCACACACCTTACTTCAAACACCCTTGAGACAAGCCTCACTCTAATTTAACAGATTTGGAAGAAAAACAGGAAAGAAAAAACAAACAAACAAACAAAAAACAACCTAGTTGGGTGTGTGGTGGCTCAAGCCTGAAATTCCAGTGCTTGAGGGGCTAAGGTAGGAGGATTGCCAAGAATTTGGGGCCAGCTGGGACTAGAGTGCAACCCTGACTCAAGAACTAAGCCTGGTAGCACACACCTTTATGTACGGCACTAGGGAGACAGAGGCAGGACGATTTCTGAGTTCAGGTCAGTCAGGATGACACAGTGAGACTTGTCTCAAACACCTGAGATGCACACACCACCCAGTGTAAGCTATTTAAGATGGTTTATAGGTGGTAAGCTTGGGTTTCACCTATCTATGACCCAGTCTCCTATCTCTGTTAACGTTGCCTGTGCCAGCAAGCAAAAAGCCTGTTTGAGTAGGATCCCTGTTCCTCTCCAGGCTGGGGCCTGGAGCTGTGCACCCTCACCTCAGGCTGTCAGAGAAGGCCTCCAGTCCAAACTTGGAGACACAGTAGCCCCCGCCACTGGCTGCTAGACGACCCAGGACACTGGTGATGTTGACCACCCGGCCCCGGGCCTTTTGTAGCAGGGGCAGTAGGGCAAGGGTGACTCCAATGGGACCCAGTGTGTTCACGTTCAGCACGCGCTGGAAATCATCCTGTGTCAGCCATGGTGTAGGCCCAATGACACCAGCCACACCAGCATTATTCACCAGACCAAAAAGCCCTGTGGGGAGATGACAGACACAGGGTGGGGGATTGGGGAGGTGAGGCCTGGTCATGGTTCCTTCCTGGGAGAATTTGAACTCCATTCCTCCCCCACAGCCTCAGTGACTGGGATTACTGTACAGACCAGGTTCCTGATGGCTGCACCACACTCACCAGTTTCTCCAACATGTGTCTTCACCCACTTGGCAACCTGCTGGACATTCTGGGGGTCAGTGACATCCAGCAGTGTTGTGTGGAGGCGGGAGGAGCCCATCTGCTGTAGGTCTTCTGCCCCAGAGCGGGTCAGGCAGCTGGCCAGGACTCGGAAGCCTTTCTGGTCAAGCTGCAGTGCCAGAAGGCGCCCAAAGCCTGAGTCACAGCCAGTGATGAAGATGAAAGCGTTGCTGGCAGGGAGTCTTTGCTGGTCTCTGAGCAACCACAGCACTGCCCACAGCAAGGCACCCAGAAGCAGAGGCAGCCACATGGTTAGATGCAGTGCCCTGCAGATGGCAGCCTAGACTGGGCAGGAAAGCTTGTCATTTCCTTTGCTCCTTAACCCTGGCTCCTAACATCTACTTGGCTGGAAATGTTTGGTCTGAGCAAACAAACCAAGAAGCTATCTGCTGGGCAGCTGACTGGCAAGCTATGGCTTATTGTGCAAACGCTATCTTTATAGCTAATGAGTTAAACCTGAGCTGGTGCTTCGTGCAAACGTGTTGTGAGGGAGCAGAGGGGCCTGGATTACCATTGTACCTTCTACTAATGCAGGACATCATAACCCCCTGAATGCACCCTTGCCTTACTTTTGGAACCGAGAGCCCTGCATTTCAGTCCTGGTGGCTTCAAAGTTACTGTGTGAAGGCAGACACCTTCACTCTGTCTTGGAACCGACCTCTTCCTTACCTAGCAAATTGAGCTACAATACCCATCAGGCTCACCTCAGTGTTGTGGACGATCGAAGGGACGACGTGTGAGACAATGTTCGAAGCTTACGGCTTGATGCTTGGACGATCAATACATGCCACCCCAAGCTAGTCTTTTTATAGCAACCCCATTCCCACGACTCCACTTACCTCTGGGGAAAGCTGGCAGGCACACAATGTGCGACGCTGTAGCTTTTCCGTCTGCTTAAGAGACTTTGCTCCCGGCCTTCCCAGGCTCCCACTCTAGCTACAGTGAAGGCCAAAGTCTGGAGGGGTGGACTCTTGCTGTGGAGCAGGAGTGTTAAGTGTATGTTTTGGCGGGTGAGGGAAGTGATGATGACGAGGAGGAGCTAAGAGGCTGAAGCCTGCCTGGCTGAAGCTCTGCCCGGGGCCCCCCCTTAGACTGTCTTTCTCAGTCTGGGCCCCTGACCATCTATGCCACTGTCTCCTAGGAGGCGGGGACTACCAAGGATGGCAGCTGCCCCTCTCTGTGGGTGGCCCTGCCACTTTCCTTCCTTCTCAGCCCTAAAGTGCCCCCAAGAATTAATCCCCCCCCCCTGTGCAGACTCATGACCCTGCTTAGGGGAAGAGCACATGAGCATGCATGTGTTGGGGCAGAGAGCCAGGGCTGAGGACTAGGTCTGCCTTAACTCTGCAGAAACTGAACTCTGAAGCAGAAAGTTCTAAGCAGAAACCTCTCCTGGGCAGCAGGCACGAGGAAACTTTCTGCTCAGCCAAAAGGCACCTGCAGCAGGCTCAAAGAAGAGTAGGTACAGTAGGAGGGCTTATTGTCACCCTCCACCAAAAGGCACTCGTCCCACAGGGAAACCACCCTGGAACCCTCCACTATGACACGGGAGCCAGTGACTCTGTCAAACACACCACACAGAATGGAAGCCTGGGTTTTATTCATGACCTACCAGTCTCCCTCCTGGGAGGGGGAGAGGGGAGGAGAGGCTAGGGTGGAGCAGACTGCAGCTGCCCTTTGTAGACATACTCCAGCGCAGTGGCAATGGTACGCATGTCCAGCTCGATGCTCCGAGCCCAGTTCTCCACATCCCCAATTTCCTGGGAAGGGGGAGAGGAGATTGGAGGTCAGGAATCAGGGTGGGTAGATTGTGCTTCCTAGGCTGAGCTCGCTCACTCAGATACACCAACTGCTTCCCTGTGCCTGCCTGCCAGCCTGCCTGCCTTTTGAGGTGGATCACTGCAATATTGCTTACACTGGCTTCAACTCCTGGGCTCAGGCTACCCTCCTGCCTTAGCCTCCGGAGTGGCAGGTATGACTGGAGGGTTTTCTGCAGAGCTAAGGATTGAACCCAGGGCTCGTCACTGAGCTACATCCCAAGACCTTGCCTTTTTTTCTTTCTAGCCTTTCTGATACCAGAAGGAATATCTGGGACCGTTCCCACTTCATTCCCTGTCTGAGACAGTTATGAGACTAAACATAGCCGATGGTTGAGTGTGGCCCACCTTAAGTGCCTGGTTGAAGTTCTCCACCATTCCAATCCACTGGCCTGTCTGCTTGGCAAACTGGGCGGCCTGGACCTGGAGGGTCTTCACCTCGTGGTCCAGCTTTCTCTGGTTCATGTAGGCCTGGGCCACACTAAGGATTGGAGGAGGGGAGGATGTCAGCTCATCCAGTTCATAGGGGGTGGTCTCCAGGCCCTACGATAGTGGTAGGACATTAGCCAGGAGGTAGGACTGGGGAGACTTCTGGGTGTGACCCAATGAAGCAGGCTCCTTCCTAGAACCCTAGGGTTCCCAAGAAAGCCCATTTGTGAGCTGACTAGAAGCATACTTTTTCTCATTCTCTCAAGGAGTTTCTGTAGCTGAGATGGGGGATAGGGAGGGTTAACCTGGGGGATATCCCAGAGGGAGAGCTGGGAGGGGAAAGGGAGCATGGGAAAATTCACATCTGGCAGTGATTCGAAGCCCATCGATCTCTGCAAGCAGTTGGGAAGGAAATCAGGCCCCTCCCTGAATATGGGGTGGGGTGGGAGAGTGAACCCCCGCCTTCAGAACCCTGGGTCAAATAAGCCTATCCCAGATTTCCTTGGCTCTTCCTCTCCCCCACCCTTTGAGATGGGGTCTTATGCAGGCCAGGAAGACCTCAAACTTGCCATGGGGATGAAGCTGGCTTGACCTAATCTTCCTGCCTCTGTTGTCCAAGTGCTGGGATCACAGGCATATGCGCACCACCCACAGTCCTTTGACCCACAAAGATGAGTGAACGAACACACACACACACACACACACACACACACACACTCACACACACACACACACTCACACACACACACACACACACACACACACTCACACACTCCTGTCCTTACACTCCAGGCAATCCATCTTTTCTGGCCAATCAAGGTGCTGGCTGTGGTTGCCATCACTACCACACGTTGGTGCTCCGTCTTTTGCTTTCCCTCCTGTATGTAACCACTGTTCCCTCTCTTACTAGCGGATGACCTTTTCGTTCCCTATCCCAAAGCTCTAGGTCAGTGAGGGGAGTCCACATCCGGTGCCGCCACCCACTGGAATGTGTGGGGGCAAAGGAGGCAAAGGGGGGGTGTCCAAGAAAGTGGGCAGGGCACCTGACAAGGGGCCCAGACACACTACGCCTTTGTTTCATTTTCTGGAGAACAGGAGCTGTGGGAAGCAACACAAAACCCTTTCTAATCTGGATTTGGCTTAGCTGCCATCTAAGCTTGAAAGTGGGGTGGCATCTAGCAAGTAAATAGAAAAGAGAGAAGTCCGGCCAGCCTCAGAATTGGTAGCAAAGGAGGTGCCAGTGTGGGAGTCCGGAGAGGAGAGAGCTGTCTGGAAACGAAGACCAGAGGCCAGAAGCCATTTCCCCCTCATCTCTTCTCAGATGAGTAATGGAGATGACCCCAGCCCCTGCACGGCTCCCTTGGATGACTCAGTCTCTGAATTTACAACGGAGCTGTTCTACTTGCCCTGTGGAAGGCATGACATGTACCTCCTTTCTTCCCATAGACAGACTATCAAGTTACCATCTCTGCTGTCTCTCTGAGTCACCCAGGTCCAGGAAATCCTTCCAAGTCTTTGGCTATCACTGGCGTTCTCATTTAGGGTTGGGGTTGGGGGGAGGGTCCCTGGAGACCCCGGAAGGAAGGGAGGGGACAGCCTGGTTTTGTCATAGCTCTTGGCACAGCTGTGCCATCTTGTTCCTGCCAGTTGTTTCCCAGGCTCGCCAGAGTAGGAGGTGAGGAAGGAAAGACGGTATGTGGCGAGAGAGGTTGTCCTTCCCTCCCACCCAAGTGACAGCTGGCCATAAAAAGGGTGAGTGGAGTTGGCCAGATGGCATTAAGTTGTGCCAGGGAAGTCAGTTTGGGGAGGGGGGGGTTCTGTCCTGACTTCCCATCCTCTGCAGCTGCTTAGGAGTCAAAGGTGACTCAAGTTTCCATGAAGTTACACTAGGGAGAGGGCATCAGGGGAGCCGGGATCCTTCAGGAGGACGGCCCGGACGTTGTCTAACCGGGGTGGGTGGAGGAAACCAGTTGGGCGGAGAGGTTCATACCCCACATTGAGGTGATCCACCAAAGCTTCGGTCAGGCAGGTCGCTGCAGTGATGGCCTCTCGACGCCTCTTCTCTGGGGACAGGGGGACAAGGATTGAACAGAGTTTGTATTTGAGAGGTGGTGCTCATGGGCTCCCCATGCTCTTATTACTATTCTAGAAACTGCCAACCAACGTCAGCCCTTTACAGAAGAACCTCACATACATGAAACCAAACCAAACCCCTTTAATTTGGAGGCGAGGAAACTGGCACCCTGAGAGGGGAAGGGACTCCCACAGGCACGGCCAGGACTCGTCCCAGACACCCTTTCTCCACTACTTTGGGCAATGGATTGGCAACTCCAGGATTCCCAGTGTGGGCCTTAGGAAGGGCACGCTTCACAGCCTTGGCTGTGGTGGCAGACCCGTTGGAACCGGCCGCTGGGCGGTCCCCAACTCCCTCCCGCTTCCGGGGTGAGGCAGCCTGGGCCCATTGGCACCCAGTGTGGGGAGCCGGGGGCGGGGCTCAGGCGCCGCCTAGGCGGGGTCGGGGGAGTTGCCGAGGGGCCCGGAGCTTCCGCAAGTGCCGGCCCCGATCCTCTGCCCTGCACTCGGGTCGCCCGCTAGCCGGCGCCCTCCCCGGGAGCGGGAGGTCACCCGAGGGCCAGGCTTCGGGCAGAAGCTAGGCCGCGGCCGATGGGACTGCGCGCTCACCCTGCAGCTCCTTGCGCTCATTCTGCTTGGCCTGGTGTTCTTTGAGCAGGCGGGACAGCATGGTCGTATCTGGCCGGGCGTGGGCACAAAGGGCCCCTCCCGCGGGCTGCGGAGCTGGGTTGCGCCGGGGCTCACGCCGGGCCGGGGTCACGTGGCGGCGGCGTCACGTGACGCGGGAGCCGCCCTCTCTCTCTGGCGTTGGGTAATCGGTAGTGACTGTAACGGAGGGAAGTGGAGGGTTGGGTGTAGTAGGTGAGCCGGTTCTTTTTTTTTTTTTTTTTTTTTTTTAGCGTGGAAGCGCTTTTCCTATTCACTCATGCTGGGTAGTCGGTTTCCACGTGCTCTGTCCGTCTGTCCGTCCCCGAACGCATTGAAATGCTTTTCCTCCCCTCGCCTTACTTCCTGGCACTGCTTGCTGGCCGGCAGGCACTCTGGATTCCCGCTTTCCTCTCCCCCAGAAGAGAAGGCTCTCTCCTCTCTTCCCAGCCCAGAGTCACCTCACCACTCCACCTAGGTTCCCCTAGCTCTGGGAACTCACTACAGTGAAGCATTTTTAGGCGCCACAAGCGGCCTTCTAGGGAGCTTTGCTAATGTTGCGGGCTCTGAGTGGCGAATGCAAACTCCATCCCTGCCCTTTTGTGGTCAGGGAATGCGAACCCATTTTAGTCGTGGCAGAAACCTAAGTGCTGGCAAAGTGAAAGGTAAATTATACAGTGCCTCTCTTGCCCAAGAAAGAATGCTTCCAGGATTAATTCCAACAAGAAAAATTATAAACATCATTAATTTACTGCTGTTGTTACAGTCTGTCTGCCTCTCTGCCTGCCTGCTTGCTTGCCTGTCTTTCTGTCTGTTTCTCTTGGCTCCCTGTGCTTTTCAGGATGGCCTGTAATTCAGGAGTCTTCTACTTCAGGCCCACAAGCAACTGGGGCTATGGAGTGCATTACAAGTGTGCAGACATGCCCCGGCGTGGTAGCACATGCCTTTGATCCTAGCACCCCAGAGGCAGAAGCAGGGTGATCTCCAGGGCAGCCAGGACTACAAAGAGAGACCCTGTCTCAAGGCAAAAACAAACAAATGTGGAGACATGCTGAGCAAAATTTGGTCAGTTTGCTTACCTGCTCAATAATAGTTTTATTGTTAATAAAATAAGGTGATTAGGTTAATATTTAGCTGATGCAAACTTGTCAGGAGGCTGAGGTGGAAGAATGGGGAATTCTAGATCAGTTTGGCTTCAAACTCAGAAATCCATCTGCCTCTGTCTCCCGAGTACAGTGATTAGAGGTGTGCAACACTGCCCTGCTGAAATTTCTTTATTTTTTTTTAAGATTTATTTATTATGTGTACAGTATTCTGCCTGCATGTATGTCTACAGGCCAGAAGAGGGCACCAGATCTCATTACAGATGGTTGTGAGCCACAGTGTAGTTGCTGGGAATTGAACACAGGACCTCTGTAAGATCAGCCAGTGCTCTTAACCACTAAGCCATCTTGCCAGCACCCCACTGAAATTTCTCAATAAGAGTTGAGAATTATTGATCCATTTGTGCATTTATCTATTTCGTTTATTTTTTGTGTGGGTTGTGGTGATACTCTAGGGAGTCACCTCTCTCTCTCTCTCTCTCTCTCTCTCTCAGACAGTGTTTCTCTGTGTAGCTCTGGCTGTCTTGGAACTCCCTCTGGTCTTGAACTCACAGAGATCCTTCTGCCTCTGCATCCCGAGTGCAGGGATTAAACACAGTCACCATCACTGCCTGGCTCAGTTCTCTCTTTTAACAGATGGGTCCTGAGGATGGAATTCAGACCTTGCTGGCCCTCGTTCAGCAATTTGAAGAGTGGCGTCTTATGTTCTGGGAGATGAGTGAGAAGAATCATGAAACTGCTGTTAAATGACAGCGTTAAGCAGAATCTCACGAACTGTCAGAATAACATTTAGGAGCTCTCATTTTCATGTATGTGTGTATGCTCACAGTGCCAGTGGGGACCGCAAGAGTACTTATCCTCCGGAGCTAGAATCCAAGACAGTTCTAAGGTACTTGGCGGGGTGCTGTGTGCTGAACTCAGGTCTTCTGGGAGAGTAGCGTACATGGCTGGTTTTGTGCGTCAATTTGACATAAGCTAAAACCATCAGAGGAAGGACCTTCAGCTGAGGAAATGCTTCCTTGAGATCCAGCTGTAAGGCATTTTCTCATTTAGTGATCAATGTGGGAGGGCCCAGCCCATGGTGATGGTGCCATCCCTGGGCTGCTGGTCCTGGGTTCTACAAGAACAAGCCAGCACCCCTTCATAGCCTCTGCATCAGCTTTCCCTTTCAGATCCTGCCCTGATTGAGCTCCTGTTGATGTTTGATAAGGATCAGGAGAAACAAATAGGCCGAATAGATGTTTATTATAGACAGATGAACATCATAGACAGATGAACACCAGCAGGTTCCTGGTCCCATGCCTCTGGATGTTCTCCTGTCCCCATGCTGCAAGTAAGAGAGCTCTCCGAGCCCCCTCCTCAGACTGGCCCTGTCTCCACCCCCAATGGGCATGGTCTATGCCACAGGTGCAGACAGGTGAACATCTCACTACAAGCTCCTGTCCCGACTTCCTTCAGTGATGAACAACAATGCTGAAGCGTAAGCCTAATAAACCCTTTCTTTCCCAACTTGCCCTTTGGTCTTGGAGTTTCATCGAAGCAGTAGAAACCCTAACTAAGACAAGTAGCAAGAGATTTTAACTGCTGAGCCATCTTTCCAAGTCCCCATGATAAAATTCTTGAGTAGGAACTGTATTGGGATGTAGCTCAGTGGTGGAGTACTTGCCCTTAGTCCCCAGCACTAAAGACACACAAAAGCTAAATAAAAATGCTGGATAATGTGTATCTGTATGCTTATGTGTCTATTATAAACATTCTCTGAACACTCATAACAGGCCAAGCACTTTGTGTGTTCATTTAATTCCTAGAACAGTCCCGAAAAATATTACCGCTAGGCTGTGGTGGTGCACACCTTTAATCCCAGCCCTCGGGAGGCAGAGGCAGGACGATCTCTGTTAGTTTGAGACCAGCCTGGTCTACATGAGTGAGTTCCAGGACAGGCGCCAAAGCTACACAAAGAAACCCTGTCTTGAAAAACAAAACAACAACAAAAATTACGGTCTTCTCTAGCATGCAGGTGAAGATTCTGAGTTTTGTGTTAGGAAGTGGAACTCCTGATGGGCAGAATTTGGATAAAAATCCAGGCTAATTCATGGGAGTCTGTATTACATAAGCCATGGGAGAGACCCCAGGAAGCAGAGACCCTGAACAGTTTTCAGGGGAGCCTGTTGGGTGTGAGCTGAAGGGAATCCTGGAAGGGGAGGAGTGTTTTGGAAGAGGCCCTATTCTATGGAAGGGCTGATCAATAGAAGCTGGAAGAGTGAAGAATATCACAGGGCAGCATGGGCCAGGGGTCCCCGCCGCCGCCCCCCCCCCCCGCTCTGGCTCCTTCGTCTAGCTGCAGTAAGCAAGCAAAACAGGCAGAATGGAAGATGCCTGCTTCACTCTCAAAGCCTGGGGGCTTGAGAGAGAAGGGCTTGGATTGATCAGGGTGCCAGAAAAGGGAGACAAAAATTGAGAGGGATAGAGAAGGTGGGCTAATGAGAGGGGTTGGTACTGGGCATTTCAGGAGTGACTCAGAGAAAGTGTTAGGACCATCTTGTATTCCCCTGACCTAAGTTGGCACGACTTCCTGACATTTTTCACACTAGAGACTGCCAGGATTTGGCTGACGTCAGTCTCTGCTCTTCTCACCCACATACTGGTTGTTCCTCTGCCCTACAGCTGGGAAGTGGACACGGGGTGGCTGTATCCGGGGACTCCGACCGATGTTATCTTTAATCTGATTTTGCCTGGACCCTTGTTTACCCCGTGACCCCAGTTTCTGCTGTAGTTGGAGCTCATCAGCTTACCCTGACTTTGATAAACGTGGACACAAGTTCCCTGCATCTCCAGAGGATGACTCTCCTACTCATGACTGTCTCTCCCTCTCCCCATCCCCCTTCCCACTCTCTCTGTAGTATGCTTATGTGTGTGTTTATTTGTATTTCTTGGGTCTGAGTGTGTGAGGCTGCCCATGCAGGTATGTGTGGAGGCCGGAGGTTAATTAACACTAGGGCTTCTTCAATGGTTCTTCGTTTATCGAGGCAGGGTCTTTTGCTGAGCCCCAGGTTCACCAGTTCTGGCTAGTCTATCTAGCTAGCTTGCTCCAGTGGACCCAGCCTACCCCTCGAGTTCTGGGATTACAGGTGGCTCCCATGTCTGTCCATCTTAGGCTTTCACATGGGCTCTGAGGACCAGAACTCCACTCCATGTGTTTGCATAACAAGCACATTTCTCTGAGCCACCTCTCCAAACAAATACTTGCAAGTTTTTAGATTGGGTGAGGTGGCTCACACTTGTAATCCCAGTACTTTGGAGGCTAACACAGGATGCTGGCCACAAGTTCAAGGCCAGCATGGGCTACAGAGTGAGTTCCAGACCCTCTTGGGTTACACTGGGTGACCCTGTCTCCAAAACCAAACAAACAGAAAAGAAAACAAAGGAAACAAATGGAAACCTACAGCAACCAAGTAAACAAAGTAAAAAAAAATGCATTTGAAATCGCATTCTGTTCATGTCTCTGAATGATTTTACATTAGAATAAATGAATGTTTCTTCACAGTTCCCTTGTTCCTCTGAGGTCTCTCTCAGAGTTAGTATTATTGAACCAGCTCCAAATAGAGCATCTAGGCCAAACCTTAGTGCTGGGAACTGCTGAGTTGTTAGGGGTTGGGTGAGGACTGAGGGAGTACATGGAGGGAGTGGAGAAGGCTTCACATACTAGGAAGTTTGGCCCCGCTTCAAGAGAGGGGGCTGTTGGCAGTGTGGCCAAATTCCAAATGTTGGTCTAAAGCCAGGGCTCAAAGAAAAGGGGCCCTTAAGACGGTCTAAATGGCTCCCTGTGGGAAGTGACCCCTTGGTCCTCTCTCCAACATGCAAGAGTTTCTTTTGGGTCCTCGAAGTCCAGAGTGGTCAGGCCATTTCCCTATGGACTTCACTCAATCGCATTTATGTTCTTTCTTTCTCAGCCACTCCCCCAGTATGAGCTTTGGCTACAGCCAGAATTCAGAGGCCAGCAAAGGCTTCTAGTGCCGAGAAGTGTGTGGGGTGAGCTAGAAAGTCCTCAAGCTGTGTGTCTTGGGGGGAGAAAGCCTGACCCTCGACAGACAGACACTCCAAGCCCTTGTTACCAGAGGGGGTGAAGAGAGAAGTGGCCCATGCAGTGTGCCTTCTAGAAGCGTTTGCTTACGTTAGCCACAACAGCTGGAAAAAGTATGTTCTGAGGAGCTGGTAAAGAGGGGCTCCATGCACAGGTGGAAAAGGTGTTTAGGGTTGGGGAAGGGACTGGAGAAAACAGCCACTGTCTTTGCCGAGTATAGACATTTCTCAATTAAAATATTTCTTAATTAAAATAATTTTCCCCTATTTTTAATTTTTTTCTTATCCCAGTAATTAAAATAATTTTAGAATGAGAGACAATTGCAAAAGGCTTGGGGACCTTCTGTTCAGTATCCTAGAATGGTGACATGGTTCGTAATTGCAGTTTGACGTCAGAACCAGGAAGCTGACATCGGTACAATACCATTAGTAATCTGCAGGCCTTACTCATTTTTTAAAGTGCCGTTTACACATGCTGTCATCTCTGCTTGTAGTGCTGTGCAATTTTACCCCACGTGTAGATTTTACCTCCACCACAATACAGAGCCTGCAACTGTGAAGGAACCTCGCTTGAGCCTTCCCTTAATACTTGGACTCATTGCCTGCTCCCCTTTATCTCCTGGAAGCACTAGCGTGCTCTTTTTCTGTGTAGTTTTGTCATTTTGAGAATGTTATATCAATGCTTTAACACAGTATTTTTATGTATTTAGTGCTGGGAATCATAATTCATGACTTCATGTATGCTAGGCAGGGACTCTTCCACTAAGCTATGCCCCTGCCCTTTGCTCTTCTGGACTTTAGGCTGGCCCATGAGGGCTTGGATTGAAGGAGTGCAGTACCACGCCCAGCTTTGACCATTGCTTTGAGCATTTTACTAATTTCTAAACTCTTGACTCAACGGCAAGAGGCTTTCTGGCAGGGCATTTAATGTTGACCTCGCCTCACTCTCTGGGTCTCTCTAGTTTCTTCATGTATGTTCACCTACTGTGTGGCTCAGCATGGCAACATTCTGCTTCGGGTTATCCCTTAGGGAAATATATTTGTCTTCATTACTAAGCTGGTCTAGTAGTCTTGTGTGTTCTTCCCCTCCCTTGGCCCACTATTTATAGCCTGGCTAATTTTGGGCGACCAATCTCTCTTATTTTCTGCATCTTCATCCTGTGGCGGGTGAGGTGACTTCTCAAATATTTGGGCAGAGGAGGTCAGAAGCAGATTCTTGGCATCCGATCTCAACCTCGGATTTATGGGAAGCTGGTGGAGCTCAGTGGGGGTGCAGACAGAGGCAAGCCAAGTTGCAGGTGCAGAAAGGAAGGCAGCTGGGACTCTAAAGGCATTTTGACCAGAGTCAGAGGCCAGGGGAGGAGTCATCAGTACTGGGTTCCATCCCTGTTGGGCTCTTCTGAATTTCTGTATCATCTCTTTTCTGCTGACGGGGGCTCTGAGACACAAACACGCCGGAGAAGAAACACCGGGGAACACTGGAGTTAGAACCTAGTAGTGCCAGCCTTGCATGTGTCTGTGTCATAGCAACAGTTTTGAGGCATGCTACACAGCTGCAGAGCATTACAAACATGGCCAAAACCATCGCATGCCTTGTAACTTACCCAGCAGCAAATATTGTCCAGTGATGAGAGTAAGAGCCCACATTCCTTTTTTTCCCTGCCAGAGAAGTATAATCCTGAAGGAGGGAGGTGTGAGGGACCCAGGAGAAGCCGCCTTTAAGAAAGGGGAGAGATCACAAGAATATGAGATATTTGAAGGGCAGAGACATGGAGAAATGGACTGCGAAAGCTCCAAGAGTGACATGTGGGGCAGTAAGAACAGAACTTGAGGTGAAGCCTGAAGACCGATGCCTGGTAAGAGTCAGGAGCCAAGAGGCGAAGTGGAAGGCTGTGAGGCTGCCTTTCTGCCAAATTATTTCCCATCTCATCTCCTGGCACCGCTTCTGGATTATAGTTATAAATAGCAGAGAGATGGGAAAAAAGTCCCCTCCCTTTGCTTCTATCCTAGAGTGGGGGAGGGAAAAGAAGCCCAGGGAGAACTCTTGTTTTTGAGACAGGGTCTTGCTTGCAGAGATCTCTTTTCTGAACCAGCCCAAAACTCTGTGCCCACTCTTGGTTCATTTATTGAGACACGTCTCACTTTGTAGCCCTGGCTACGTAGATCAGGCTGGCTTCCTTCTGTCTGTCTGTCTAGCGCTGAGGTTTGCAGGCGTGGGCCACAAAGTTTGGCTTCTCATTGCTCCTCTTTCCTTTTGAGACAGACTCTGTAGCTCTGGCTGGCCTGGAACTCTCCATGTAGACCAAGCTGACCTCGCAGAGACAGAGATCTGCCTGCCTCTGCCTGCTGGGATTCCTGGGTGACCCACCCTACTCCTTTTGCTCAGTCCCGGAGAAGAGTGGATAGCAGGAATCTCCCTTTCTGTGCCTTCGTCTCGAGTTGTAGAATATCGTTTTAAGGTGTGTTACTTTTGTTTATGCTCGGAAACATTTGTTTAACGATGCAAAGATGCGTTTGGTTAAATAAAATTCACCTGCAGTCAGGAGGCTGGGTCAGCAAATAGCTGACAGGAAATTGTAGGGAGGAGCCAGGTGGAGAGGGTTTATAATGAAGGTCGAGAAAAAGCTCAAAGGACTTCTTGGGATACACTAAGAGGTGCACTTCTTGCTGTTCATCCTCTCTGGGAAGCAGGATTCTACCTCAACCTTTGAATCTTGAGTTCTTTAGCAGGACAGAGATTTAAATAAGTTTCCTTAGTAGCTGTGAAAGAGTCTGCTTGAGGGAACAGAATTGCCTCAGGCTTTGGCTATGAGGCATAAACGCTGCCTGTAGTGGTGGAGTGGCACACACACACACACACACACACACACACACACACACGCACGCACGCACGCACGCACACGCGCGCACACACACTCACGCAACAATTAAAAAGGCAGCAACAATTAAAAAAAAACAAAACAACAGGCCAAGTGTCTTTCTTCTTTGCCCTTCTTGACCCCCTCTTCCCTCTCCACAGTTTAATTTGCAGTTCTTTATTTTACTTTTTTTTTTTTTCTTCACTGCACTTTGAGCTAACTCTTGCTTGGCCTTCCTCCTGCTCTCCGTTCTTTTTCCTCCCTGTTTGTTTGCTCCACTCTCCACACCTGCTGAGTGTTTTCTCTGTGCCTTTGCTTCCCTCGGGTCTCTAGAATGCTGATGCTATTTGTGGGCCCTAAGTCGTTCTTTCGAAGTGGTTTGATTCCTACAGACTAAGAGGTGCGCTATGCTACTCTGGGGAGTCGGAGTCAGTAAAGGAGCACTGGAGATAGAGGCCCAGGAACCCTCTGCTTTCGCTTCTGTATTTAAATAGTGCTTCGGCTTCTCAGGTAGTCAGTTCTTCACCCTCATCCCAGGTCTCTCTTCCTATTGTATTTCTCTCTCTCCACATTCCTGAGCTCAGCCTCCACTTTTTTTTTTTTTTTGAAGCGAGAAGTGCGCTAGGGTGGGGAGGCAGGTGCTAGACTAATTTCTATCGGAGCGGAGCCGAGCTGAGGGTCTGGGCATCCTTGGCTGTGCGCAGCAGTCACCATCTGCTCCGGGAGGCAGGGGGCGGGGCAGCGCGGGGCCAGGGGCGGGGTCTGGGCGGCATCCCGGAGAGGAGGCGGAGCCGGAGCGCACGCTGGCTCTCCCACTGCAGTAGTTGTACTTAGCTGGTCCTGGGGCAGAGGAGAGGGGAGGACTTAAGAGGGGTGCCAAGGTGAAAGATTGGAATATTCCTGAAAGACCAGCCAGATTTCTGAAACCAGAAACACTCCTGGGAAGAACTGGGGGCTCCAGGCGCGCGACGATCTCCTCGCACTAACGGAGCGCTCGCAAGGTTGGTCCCATGGGTAGGATTCCGAGCTGCAATTCCCTCCGGCCCCCTGGGATTTGCTACCTTCTTAGATACTTGTTCGCTGGACTGCTCTTACCATGGGCTGTCGCCTTCAATCTGGATGTGATGGGCGCTCTGCGCAAGGAAGGAGAAGCTGGCAGCCTCTTCGGCTTCTCGGTAGCCCTGCACCGACAATTACAGCCTCGACCCCAGAGCTGGTGAGTCACCGTACCCGCCCAGAGTCTCCAGGCTCAAGCCCTGGGCTACATACCCTTCTCCCAACTCCGCACCTACCAGTCTCTCAATCTTTCAACCATATTCTGCCCACAGGCATCCCTAACTTGAAGTCTTGCCTGGTCTTGTCCAGATCCCCAGACGCAGGCTCTTGCCTTGGGGGAATGAGTTGGAGACCAATGCTCTTGCCAGAGACCCCCTTCCCTCTGCCTTTCCCTTCAGTTTGCATCCTTGCTCCAGCCCTGCATGCCCGATTCCTTCTCTTCCTTGGAGGTGGATGGGTGGGTGGGGACAGCGGCGAACTGCTCCAGGCAAGGAGGGCTGAGCATTCTGTTTCTGTACAGGGTGGAAGGAGTGGGCAAGGACAGAGAGGATGAGGGTGCCATGGGAGAGAAAACAAATAGCATGGAGTGATGACTGCAGGGAGGCCCGGAGTGACATGGCTCAACACAGCCGGGAGGCTAGAGGAGGACCAGAGAGGGCCCGGCAATCTGCAGAGATGGTTTAGTCACAGACAGTGGCAGGAAAATAGACTCCGAGTAGTAGCAAGGGATGGTGTCACCACCACTGCCAGAAACAACAACATCATCCTCAACATCAGCAGCAGCAGCAGCAAGATCCAGTAAAGGTGCCAAGCTGCTTCCTTTCCTCCTCAGGGAATGCCCAACTCCAGAAATCTCCTTAGTAGGGAAAGACAAGGAGGAGTGAGGTGTAGAGGACAATTGTCATCTTTTCAGGACGTCTGGTAGATAGACACACTTGCAGCTGACTGTGTCTCTGTATCCTTGATTCTTGCCACACAGAAAAAGAGGCAAGGACAGGAAGAAAGCTTCCCACCCCCTCCCGCCAAAGGGCATCCCCCCCCAATAGCCAATGCATACGCCACATTTAAGTGTCCATTACTGGGATCGATGCTGTCCCCAGGGACTGTCTTCTCCCCTTACTATTGGTTTGGGGGGCAGGAGGCAGGGACAACAGTTTTTTTTCCTCCTCATCCTCTGGAGGTGGGGGTAGCCTTAATCTTCCTTCTTCCATTATTCCTGCCATCTGGGAGAAGGCATGCTCTCTAAACCTTTGGGAAAGATAGAAGCCGACTGATGTCTCAAGCCCTTAGCAAGCTTCATCTTCATCCCTTCCTCCCTCCCTCCTTCCTTACCCCATCTGTTAGCGTTCCAGGCCCGGAGGCCTTTTTAGGACATGCCGAACTCTCTGAGTTATTTCCAGGCAAATTCTAGGTTATTTTTAATAGCTTGTCTCTTGTCATTTATTTTCCCCTTCTCTGAAGGTGGCCCCTGATCCTGTCTTTCAGAGCCAAGTTGGGGGCATTCCCGGAGGGGCCTGACTGTCTGGCTCTGTTTTGCTCCAGCAGGGGGCATTCTACTGTCTGTAGGGTAAGGGGTAAGGGGGGGGGGGGGACACGGAGAAGTTGTCCTGACGAGAAGACCTCGTTTGCTTCCAGTCTAACCTAGAGATAAAACTTTGAGGTCTGACCTTACTTTCCTCTGTATTTGTCACCTCATTTATTCTCATCAACTGTGGTACAACGTCTCTATCATATGGGGCTGTTTGGGGGTGGGATTAAAAGTCCTTAATACACATAAAATAGCTTAGAATAGCACAAGCCTTGTAGTGAGTGCTGTGAAAATGTTCATTGTGCCGGAGCTCTTGTGTTGGGCTTCAGAGAGCTTGAGAACAACAGCGTTACAGCATCCAGGTTCCAGAAGCTTGGCTGAAGGGGCCCCAGGCTGAGCTAGCCTTCCTGGCCAGCCATGCAGCTTTCCCAGAGGGCCACTCAGACTGCACTGGGTTGGGGTGTGGGGGGGGCAGACTGGGGCTGAAGCTCTGGTAGTGTGTTACTTATGGGGCTCCCAGGTGCACTCTGTACCCAGCGGCCAACACCACCCTCACGCCCACCCCTGCCCCTTGCAGTGGCTGGAGCTGTGGTTACTGTTCTCTCTGAAGGCCCTGGGGTGGTTGGGCTCCTGGGATGAAGCCAGGAAGGAGAATGTGGCTGGAGCAGAGGTGACGGGGTGCTCGTGTTCCAGAAGAAGTGGCTGGGTTCTTTCTTCCAGGAGTGGGAGCGGCTACTCAGTGTCTGTCTATATGAAGCTTTTCCTTCTTGCCGCTCTTGACCTTCAGGGGAGACATCAACCCTGAACACACACTTCTACTTCTTTGGCTGTGCAGCTGTACTCTGGGCAGTGCAGGCCCTGCATGTCTCCCTGAGTCCACAAAAGGTGTGAGCCCAGTAAATGAGTCCCGGCACTTCCTATGGGGTGAGCACAAAGATAAGTCAGACAACCCCAGTGTAACAGACAGCATCCTGTGTGTTTGCAGGCTGGTGCACTGCGGACGGGTGTGAAAGCTGGGGTTTGTTTTCCCAGGGCACCATCGCCTGGATTTCCCAGGGTGTCACCTTTCCCCTCTCTTCCTTTTTCTGGAGTGGTTTCAGCCTTCTGAAAACAGGCCAGGCAATGAGTGGACTGACCAAGTAATTAGGCAGATATAGATCTAAATGTGGGCAGGTTTCTTGCTTGAAGCATTTGAATGAGTATGCTCATCTGGAAGACAGGAACCCTTATCTTACAGCACTGTGAAATCACCTAGGATAACGCTTGTGGCTCATCTCCTAGGAATCTGAGGGGAGAGTGGTAAAGGTTAATTTTTTTTCCAACCTCCTTGTCCAGCCTGGGGCTTGGCCTATAGAAGGTACTATGTCGTCTTATATCAATCAGTGCCTGACCCAGAGCTTGGTGTATGATGGGGTATCAGTCAACGGTGGTGAGACAATGATGAACATATGTCCTCTCTTTCTTCCTGCTTCCCCCAGTTTAAAATATATATATATATATATATATATATATATATATATATTGCCTCTCTCTCTCTCTCTCTCTCTCTCTCTCTCTCTCTCTCTCTCTCTCTCTCTGTGTGTGTGTGTGTGTGTGTGCATGCACTGCTTGCATGCCTAGTGTCCATGAAGGCCAGAAGAGAATGTCAGATCTCCTGGAGTTGGAGTTAAAATGGTCATGAGCTGCCTTGTGGCTGCCGAGAACCAAACCCTGATCCTCTGCAGGAGCAACAAGTGCACCTGTTAAGCCACCCTCCTGATCCCTCATCCCACATCGTAAAAGATGAATTTTACATTTTTAAAAAAAATGTATGTGTTTGTGTGTGTTCTCTGTGGCATATACATTTATGTGCACCATGTGAGTACGGGAGCCCACAGAGGTCATTGGATCCCCTGGAGTGGGAATGTTTCAGGCCATTGGGAACCACCTGGTGTGGGTGCTGGGAACAGAACCCAGGGCTTCTGCATGAGCAGCAAGTAATCCTGACTACTGAGCCATCTTTCCAGCTGCACGTTCCCCCGACCCTGCTTGACACTGGCTCTGATGTGAGATGACAGCTGCTAAGTAAGAGACAGCAGGGGTTGTGGGAACCTTTCCCTGCACTCGACAAGGTTTGGCTCAGTGCCCCGCAGATGCCTGTCTGTAATACTGTCCGGCAGTTGTGAGATTTACCCCCAGGATGGGACATGGAAGCGGGGGTGGGGGGGGAGAGGACTTGGGACTTGTCAAGAGTGCTGCCTACCACTCTTGAGCCTTTCCCGAAGAGAAAGGTTGCTGTCTGGGTATCAGTTACTTTACCTTACTTCCCTGCCACTTCTGGCTTCTGGGCTCAGTCCTGGGGGACCCAGGAAGCATCCATTCCCAGCACAGTCCTTCTCTGGGGAAGACGCTTTGGCTGTAATCATGGAAAATTGTTCTGCCAAGAAAGTTGTAACTAAGAAAAAGGCTAAGGGGGCAGTGAGAGAGAGAGAGAGAGAGAGAGAGAGAGAGAGAGAGAGAGAGAGAGAGAGAGAGAGAGAAGACTGGGTAGGGGTGGAGGGAGAGGAAAAGGGAAAGATGTGGGAGGCAAAGGTAGGGCAGGGAAAGGGGTTCTGGGTGTGGGGAGGAGGGGCTGGTGGGGTTAGAGAAACCTTTGAGAAACCTTTCCCTACGTCCATGCCAGTGGGCAAGGCTGAGTTTGGGGCTTCCAGAGCTACCCTGGGTAGGGTCTTTGCTGGACACATGGTGAAGGGGAAGCAGTCCATTTCTAGCCTCTCATCTGGTCCCCGAAGCTGTCCCCAAGCCTTTACAGTGCTAGTCTGTGTGCCTGCTGGTCGTTCTCCAGCATTCTCTTGCCATCTCTGGCAGGGTTTCAACTGGACCAGGGTTAGGGAGGAGGGCAGAGTCCGAGGCTGGGGCCAAGCAGGGGGTGGAGAAGCTTGTTGGGAACAGGTGCTAGGAACAGGCAGTTCTCTTAAGCTAGCAATGCTGACAGGCTGCTCTGGCTGGCTGGCATGTGTGTATTTACGTGTCTCTATTCACTCTTTCTGTTGGTGCTCTATGTAGAGAATAAGTACACATACAACATGATTGTAGGTCCAGGTCTTTTAACACGTCCTTGCCAGAATTTGAGAAAAATTACTTTTTCCCCCCTTTAGTACTTGGAACACTCTGCTTGGCACTGAGGGGTTGGGGCCAGGGAAGCTCTGCGGTGGTTGGAGCACTCTGGCCTCGGAATCTAGCCCTTATCCCTCCCATCCTACAGGCTGCTGGTGGGTGCTCCCCAGGCCCTGGCTCTTCCTGGGCAGCAAGCAAATCGCACTGGAGGCCTCTTTGCTTGTCCCCTGAGCCTAGAGGAGACGGACTGCTACCGAGTCGACATCGACCGGGGAGGTGTGGCCTTGGGATTGTGATGTGGGGGCGGCATGTGAAGAGGGGTGGGCAGGACTTTGTCTCCTGTCCCCTCCCCTGATACCCAGTGTCTTTCTTCAGCTAATGTGCAAAAGGAAAGCAAGGAAAACCAGTGGTTGGGAGTCAGTGTTCGGAGCCAGGGACCCGGGGGCAAGATTGTCGTGAGTACTACTTCTTGGGACAATGCAGAGGTTATGATGGGATCAAAGGCTCAAAGGGATCCTCCTCCCTCTCTGCTTCCTGAGTGCTGTGATTTAGGTCTTGTGGCATCATGCCTTTTAGTTATGACAAGTCTTTTTCTCTTCTGTGTCTGTCACTAACATACGTAGAAATACAATTATCAGTAGAAGCCATCATGAGGCTGAATACAACCAATGTTAACTAAATGGTCAATTTTCTAGTCTGTAAGTCCAAAGGAGAGTAGAGAGAAAGGACCACTGCAAACATGGTACTCTGAGCCATGCTCCTGAGAGGAGGTAATTCTCAGAGAATGGATGCTAGGGGTTGTTATTTTTGGAGGTGATAACACTTACAAAGGTCTGAGAAGGTGACTCAGTAAAGGGCTTGCTGTTCAAGTATGAGCATCTGAGTTGGATTCCTAGAATCAACATTAAAAAAAGCAACATTTGGAGGTTGTGCTTATAACCCCTGCAATAGGGAGGCAGAGACAGGAGGATCCCTGGGGCTTACTGGCCAGCCAGTCTAGCCCAGTTGGAAGGGCCCTGGTCCCAGTGAGAGGCTGTCTCAAAAGAATCGAACAGCTCCTGAAGAATGACACCCAGGGTTATCCTCTAATTTTCACATGCACCTGACACATGTATGTGTGCATTGATATTGCATGCATGTTCCCCTGCACACATCTGCATGAACACACACTACAAGATTGTCACATGTTCTATGTACCATTACACGTTTGTGAGTATCCAGGTGGATGTAGGCAAAGCCATCTTTCTTCAAGTGGCTACAGATGGGATACTGGATAAGGACCTCACACTGGATGGGTGACGGTGCTCAAGTGATGTTGGCATAGGGTTGTGTGAGCGTGCCACGGGTGCGTGCGTGTGTGTGCACGCACGTGTGTGTGTCTTGCCAAAAGTCTGCCTACATATGAGCAGCATGTAGGTCCCTGGTAAACGCAGGGGAATGACCTGACCCCGCCCTGCCCCGCCCCACCCCGATTCTCTCACAGACCTGTGCACACAGATATGAGTCTCGACAGAGAGTGGACCAGATCCTGGAGACTCGGGATGTGATTGGCCGCTGTTTTGTGCTAAGCGAGGACCTGGCCATCCGTGATGAGTTGGATGGTGGGGAGTGGAAGTTCTGTGAGGGGCGCCCCCAGGGCCATGAACAGTTTGGGTTCTGCCAGCAGGGCACAGCTGCCACCTTCTCCCCCGACAGCCACTATCTCGTCTTTGGGGCTCCAGGAACCTATAACTGGAAGGGTGAGTCATTCACTGGGGAGGGTGGAGGAGGAGACCAAAACCTCCTCTTACCTCAGAGACGGGACTGCCAGCAGCACGTGGCCAGGCACGACCGCGGGTTCATTGGCATATTGAGCTGGGGCAGGGCCATGCCCTCCACTACTCCCATCTTTCTAGCCTATAAGTGAATGGGGGTGCCTACCCTCCATTGCATGGCCATGTGTTTATCTACACATTGGCATGAGCTTCCACGTGCACGGCTGGGCCAGGGCCTGCATGCTCCAGCACAGCAGCTCACTCCTCATCACTGCCATTCCCGTCTCTGCACGCTGCCACTGGCTGAGCTGACACTTGGTGAGTGTGATGCCATGTCTGGGGGACACTAGAAGCTTGGGCCAGGGAGGTGGAGGAGGGCAGGGGGCTTCCCCGTGGGCCTCTCCCATGGAGTGTCTCGAGTGAGGGGTGCGCCTCCCTCCTGCCTTCAGTAGTGACAGGGACTGTTCTTGCAGGCACAGCCAGAGTGGAGCTCTGTGCACAGGGCTCGTCGGACCTGGCACACCTGGACGATGGGCCCTACGAGGCAGGGGGCGAGAAGGAGCAAAACCCCCGCCTCATTCCGGTCCCTGCCAACAGCTACTTTGGTAGGGACCCCTCCCTGGTCCAGAGCCTCTCTAATTCTAGTTTCCTCTCTCTCCACGCTCCCATCTTCCTGTCTCCATCTCTCTCTGTTGCTTTGTTTCTGGCTTCTTGGTTTCTCTCTGTGTCTTCCTCCCCTCCTTCCCATTTTACCTTCTTCTGGCCTTTTTTATCTGTCTCTTTCTTCCTACCCCATGTTCCCTTCTCTTGCTGGCCTTTCCTTCCCTGGTGTCTCTCCCCGACCTGCCCCCACCCCCAACAGGGTTGCTTTTTGTGACCAACATTGATAGCTCAGACCCTGACCAGCTGGTGTATAAAACTTTGGACCCTGCAGACCGGCTCACAGGACCAGCCGGAGACTTGACCTTGAATAGCTACTTAGGTTTGTAAGCTCCTGCGTCCTGGGCCCTGGGGTTTGGCCCTGGCCTTCCCACTTCCCTCCTAGGGAGTACCCTTCTCTTCCTGCCCCCCCCCAGCATATGCCCAGGGGACTAGATATTGGGGCCAAACTGCAGATGACAGTGACAGGCCTGAGAAGAAGAGGCCTTGAAGGGGATAGTCTTGGGGGCTGGGAGACAGGGTCTTCATGGAGGAAAATGTAGGTGGAGCAAAGGGGCCAGGGTTAACCCTGCTTGGAAGGACAGTTTTGACCTCTAGGGAACTTCCTCTGGGAGTGGATGTGGGCTTATGTCGGAGAGCGTTCTAGCCTGGTGGTGAGCCCCTCGTGGTGGTTTGTATCCTCTTCGGCCTATCAACAAGGAGGAAACGAGGCCCAGGA